AGTGAAAAAGTGTGCGGATACTTTTGTCCACCCTCTGTATATAACTACTTTTAAAAATAATATATTATTTACTTTTATAATGGGAACAATAATATAATAAGTTCAGAATTAGATCATCAATTCACTAAATTGCTATAATACAAAAACATCTACACTCATCCCATCCCATTATAATTTCCATTAAACCTTTTTCCAAATAAAAAGTATTAATACTATCTATCGTGAAGCGGCTATTGCCAAGGGCGGAAAACCCATAGAGTTTGAGTTGTGAGAATTTAAAGAGGATGATGAAGTTGTTGAATGATGTGCATTATGGTGATTAGGAGTCGTATAATGGTGAATCGTTGAATTTGGCTGCACGGGCTTTTGAGCAGTTTTAAAATCATCGATATTCTAGATGAAAATGTGTTAATTTTAAATATATAAAAAGCTAAAAAATAAATAAATAAATAATAATCACCTTAAATTTTTCCAGTATTTTATTTAATTGATCGCGTACTTCAACATTATTCTTATCTTTTCTATAATACAAGTAGGCCCAAAACTTTTCGAGACCATAAAGACAATCATTTTCATAATCATTTAATGTTAACTCCTGAAAATCATCGAATAAGTCTTGGCGATATTTTTTCTCAAGGCCATATGAGTAAAACCGGAATAAACATTCAAGACCATAACGATAATTAGCGTTAGCATCTTCGACCGCGAGTTTCTTAAACTCGGAGTACATGCGTTTGTTGAAATGTTCACGAAGGAAATGAGACCAAAATCTAAAGAGAGTATTCATCTCTTGTGACTGTCCAATTCCTTGCCGTTTGCGTTCTGAAATTAACACGAAATAATAATGATATTAATAAGGTATCATCTTTACATTTAAATATAAATATAATTAATTCAAAGTCAATTATTAAAAACCTTTCAAAGCCTTGGCATGATATTTATAATACTTGTGTTGAATAAATCCATTCTCTTTAAGTAATTCGTGACTAGGATGTTGGAAAGGAGGGAATGAGCGCGCTAAGTCCATTGAAGAAGATAATTGCTCTGAGTAACTAATTGATGATCCATTACTATGACTATGAGGAGAAAGTGAGTGTGGTGACGTTCCTTCAGGTGGGTGATAAGGTTGATCACTATATAATTCACAGTTAATGAAGATTAGCGTTATAGCTGGTTAAATGTAATATTAATCGTAATAAAACCTAATATTTATTTATTTACCCAAGCACCCAACCAACAGCATCTTGAGCATAATATTGACGCGTATCAGGTATGTGTTTATGGTTTGTCTTAACACTGGAATTAAGTGGAATTTGTGGTGGTACCCCTTTTACAGGCCAGAAACGCGTTGATTTTTTCTTTCTGTAATCAGATAGCAACATTAGGGGAAATATTGATGAGATCGTTGCTTTAAAATATTATTTACTAAACACAATATATATCAAAAACACACCTTTTCTTCTCCTTTTCCGTTGTTATAACCTTACTCGATAGGTTAGCCCCTGAATTCGAACTCGATGATCCCTCACGTAACTTGGTTGAGGAAATAATTGAAGTAAATTGTTCCTCGCTAAAAACAAATAAAAAGTTGTTAACATTTGTGAAGGTGATATTGATTACAATAATAAAATAGCATTTCTACCTAATAATGTCTACTTTACGATTATTAGACGAATTATTGACTCGTCTGAAATAAAAAAAATTTCAAACAATATAAGATATTGACTTCTCTGATTATAATTGCTTAATAAACTGTATACTAACTTTTTGTGTAAGTCAAATTCGTAATGATATAAACCTTCGTTAATCATTTCAACAATCTCATCTGGTTTTTTTTTAAATGAAAAAAAAAATATAGTTATTGCTATGAACAAAAATAAATACATTTGAATTTTTTTTTTAAAAAACAAAAAACGAACCATTCATAGCCTTCCTTTCGAAAGGCACATGACTTTTATCTCTCTTCTTTTGCGTAACAATTAAGATGCTTGCAACAGTATCATCATCAAATTCTTCGTCATCGTCTCCATCTTCCTCATCCGATGTGGCATAATATTTTTGAACTGTGTTATTCCTCGAATTACCAGTCCACTCTTCATCAAACTGAAAAAGTTCTTCATCAGCAGAAATTGTTGTAGCAGTTTGCTTTAGCATTACGTGAGGTGAAGTCGGTGATGATAATGTACGACGCTTTTTTGTTTGAAGAATCCAAGGATTACTAGTGGAATTGCCCTCAGAATTGTCCTCCGGAATAGTCGGCATCTCCTGATTTTCTTTGTTTTCATCCTTGTCCAGTAATAAATTGCTTTCTTCTGTAACGCTTGAAGACTCTGTTATCGTTTTTTCTAGAGTAAGCTCTTTATCTCCATTCTGAGAAAGTTCTCGCTTAAAAATATTAATATAAGTCAATAAAACTCTGGATAATTTTCCTGCAGTATAATATTACACTTACTTGTTTCGGTAAGAGCCAAAATTCCCAACCTTCTCGTTTCCTAACCTTGTCCCCATTAACTTCGACAATATAGCTCATGAGAAGAGCCTAAAAATCCAAATAACAAATCCGAATTAACTAATTATACACAGCAGAACAATTGACATAATGAAGTCGAAAAAGATAGGTTACCTCACGAACAAATGCTTCATCCAACGTTAAAGCCTTTACACGGTTAAAACCAGCCAACAAGGAAATAGGAACATAACCCTCAGAATCCATCTATGGAAAAATAAAAATTAATTAATTATATTCTATTATAATGATTAGATATTGTGAAATTACTCACATTATTTCGTAAATATATATCTTTGCAAAGATTTTCAAGGCTGAAATAATATTCTCTAAATATACAATAAATAATCATTAGATTCTTGTTTCACATTCAATAGGTTAAAATTTTGACAATCACATAGAACATACATTTGTTGTAAAATACAAAATTTTAAGACTTCAACATCATAAACAACGCCAATTTTCGATCCATATAAATTGTTATAATGATGACCATGATGACTTTGGTGACTATGTTGGCCATGTTGACCATGTTGACTATGATTATGATGTCCATACCCTGATGAGTATGAAATAGTTGCTGATCGTGGGTGACTACGTGCATTATAACGACCTAAATTGTGAAAATTTTTTATGATTATGTGTTGGTATTAATCTAGATACTGACTGCAATTATTTTCGAGAGATTACAAGGGTTGCAATGAATTTACAGCATAGTGTTGTAAACTCGGAGTAATTGCAGCAAGCAACTATAAAGTAAATAGCATGATATCATCAATTCTAACCTCTTCCACCTCTTCGTCCACGATAATGAGACCCACCATTAATATGGTGACCAATTTGTCCACTATTATCATTTTGCTGCGAATAATGACGTGTATATTCCCTCGTCGGAGGGGGTACACTAGCACGACGTCTATTTGGACTAGGATTTCTGGGGGGTGGATTGCTAGGTTCAGCTTCAGAGCTAATATTAGGTTTATCATTTGATCTCTGTTGTTCTCGGAGACCAATGTGATCTTCGCTACGACGACGAGCTTTCGACCGTTCATGACCAGGTAATGGAGTATTATGAGTAATAGTTACTTTATATGGCATCCATTTGCCTTTACCTATAAAAATTATAAAATGAGTATTGTAACGTTATAAATCAAAAACGATGATTATAAAATATCAATAAAAAAAAAAAAAAAAAAAAAAAAAAAACCTTTTTTAGTATTATCTTCTTTTTTTATATTTGACTCATTAGACTGTTTCTTTTCCGATGAATCATTTGTTTCCTTTTCTTTGTCTTTAATCAAGACTTCAGCAGGAGCAGGCCAACTAGTTTGATCCTCTAATGGTGGTAGTGTTGGTAGAGATTTTGGTTTTCTTGGTTCTTTCTTATTAAACCTCCTAGAATCTTCTGGATTTTAACCCCAAAAAAAAATTATTATTATTATTATTATAATTAATCAATCAAAAAATGAAATGGTTATAAATTTATTAATTTATTTTGATTTCTTAATGGTAGGGTTAATTTCGAACAATAATTCTCTGAATTATTACCAGTGTACTCATATGAAATATAAATGTTTAATTTATAACTTTTTTTTTTTTAAAAAAAAAAAAGGTAAAAATAAAAATAAATAAAATAAAATCTCTCGGAAATCATCAGTCTCATAATTCGTAAAATCACTTAAAGTTTAAAGCAACATCGAATATTAAAAAGTTCATTTTTATGATCTTCAAAGATTGATATATCTATTTTTCAACGTACCATCTAAAGGTTCATGATCATTATCCTGATTATCAGTTCTTTTGTGAGAATCAGTTACTACTTCTTTCTCCTTGTCATTAGAAACGGAGACATTTTTGGCATATATAGCCTCCTTCCTTACTTGCCATACGTTTACGGCTGGTATTGGAGCAGGAGGAGGTATTATTTTTTTTGGTACTTCGTTCTCTATTGGTTTTTGATTCTCCTCATTATGCTGTAAGGCTTCTTTAACCTGTTCAGGTGACTTTTGTTGAACAGAAGATCGAACCGTATTCGACCAATTAGTTTCCAGTTCATTTTTAATTTTTGTACCAGTAGGCTTGATCAGATTAACATTTCTAACGCTAGTACTAGCGAGATTACTATCTGGCTGCGCAGTTGCTGGACTAACCATGGCTTATAAAAAAAAGAAATATAATAAGACGAGCACGTAAGAAAAGTAGAGGAAAAAGGTTATTTTGGTGTTGATCAGAAGAAGGAAAGGCACCAAGTTGAAGAGCGAACCAAAAAAGGCTCAATAAGAAAAAAAATTTTTTTTTGGTTTTAACTAGGAAACTCTGCGGACAGTTTTTCACAAAAGAACAACAAAAAGGTTGTTCGCCGCGTGAGCAACTGTGTTTGCCGAAAAAAAATTTTTTTTTCTTGGTCGTTAAGTGAGGCAGCGAAACTCCTCAAAGGTGCAACAGTATGCAAGAAAAAAAAGGTGTCCAACTCAGCCAACAACACCCGTTTATACTACGTTAGCTAAGCTAAAAAAAATTGATATTTTGGATTCACCCCCTTTAAGAAATATTATATAGTATATACGTGATACGTGGCGAAAAAAAAAGGTTGGGATATGAATAGCACATTAATTACTAAATGATTAAAAAAAAAAAAAAAATTTTTTTTCAACATACATTAGACCAATCATTACGATGCATTCCATCGCATTTTGCTGTGCATCATCAGTAAAACAAACAGGTCGAAACTAATACATTTTTCGATATGATCTGAAGTTAAAAAGTTCTACCGAATTGATCCTAGTTCAAAATATTTATCTTATAATTGTTTGAAATCAGAAGCAAAAAAAAAAACCAGAATTGTTTCCTGAAGGGATAAACCACCCAAAAAAATCGGACTCCGATAGTACCCGGCTAATTTTTTTTTTGATGTTACCCCTTTGAGTCACAACAACAAATAAAAAGTTTTTTTTTGTTTTTTTGAAAAATGACATCCATCGTACAAGATCTTCGTGCTGACGATGATTACGATAATTTCTCAAGTTTTGATTTAAAAATTTAGTTCTTGTAAAAAGCCATGAAAAAAAAAAAAAAATTTTTTTAAAAAAATTATTTGGCTTCCAACATTCGATATGTAATTCCATTTTTTTTTTTTTTTTTAAAAAAAAATATACATATATTAAAATAGACGATCGTTTTATAGATAGATGATACATATTAGATGTGATCAATTCCTGAGGTAATTAATAATATCCTGATTTATAATATTTATATTATGATGGATGAGTGCTGATTTTAAAAAGAATAAAATATTTCAAACTTCATTTCTTGACCTTAAGATGGGATTAAACATTGTATGCAATTAATTCGTAGGACGACATTTCATTAGGAGCACGACGTAAAAGAATATGAATATAGAAAAGGCGTGGAGAAATTTTAGCTTGGCATCCTGACACAATAACGCATCAAAACCAGTATTGTTGAATTTAAAATGAGCGGAGAATATAAAAAAAAATTTTCAAAAAGAATGCTAAATTAGTCATCAATAATTTGCCGCGTAATGCATATAATTCGCGCGGTCACATGACTTATAATTAAAAAAAGAACGCGTGTACATCTGTAACTGTTCTAATTACAGTTAATATTTGATTTAATTGATTATTTTTCGTATAATCTTGCAAAGTTAATAATTATTATTTGTACATTTCACAAATCACAAATAACTAATAAACAACCAGATTTAGTTAGAACTTTAGGTTTACAAATCCAGATTAGATGATTTACCCAAATAGGATAAAAATTTTAAAATAGTTTTGAACATTTTAAATTTTATAAATTATTATTTTGTTTATAATTTGTTTATAATTAATAATTAAATAAATATTACAATGATAATATATTAATTATTTAAAATTTAATTTAAAATATATAAAATTCTAAACTAAAAATCTATAAAATTTTACATACTTATTAAGTTTTTAAAGTTAAAAAATATTTTTAAAATAAAATTATTATACTTATATATATATATATATAATTCAATTATTTTGAAATTAAAAATATATAACTTTATTATTACTATATGTAATATATTTAAAATACTATAAATTATAATAATTATTATTATCAGTAATTTTTTTTATTTTATAAATAATTGAAAATTTTTAAGTTTTAAAAAAAATAATTTATTAAACAAAAAAATACATATTATTAAATTTATTGTAATTAAATAATATTTTTTTAATATTAATTAAAAATATATATTTCAAATAAAAATAATATTGTAGATAGTTATAATTATATAATACTTATTTGTTATCAGTTATAATTAGTTACAACTTAATTTTTATTAATGTCACAATTAATTATATTATGTGATACTTATTTATCATCAGTTGCAATTAATTATAACATCATTTTTAATTTTTAATTTAAAGATTTAATATTTTAAATAATTATAATAATATAATTTTTAAAATAAAATATATTTAAACTTAATATTAACTAAAAAATTTTTATAAGTTTTTTTTATTATAAAGTATTTATAATATTATAAATAATTTAAAATATTAAAATATTAAAATATTATTTTATTTAATTATTATCTAAAGTATAAGTGTAGGATACTTTCATTTAGACTATGCATATAATGTTTGCTTAATACGTAATCTATAAATCATATGATAAATATAAGATCAATTTGTGATTGGCTAAAATTTAAATATAGTTGATCAACTAATTTGAACGTTTTATATATTCTAACAGTTTTTGTTACCTAGTCTTATAATATTTATTAATATTTATATTACTGTAAATTATAATAGAATATAAAAAATATTATTAGTTAAATTATATTATAAATTAATTTTATATTTAATTTAATCAATAATATTTTTATATAATATTATTAATAATATTATAATATAATAATTAATATAAAATAAGTAAAAAATATAATAATTTTATAATTTAAATTGATTAATTATAATTATATTTTACTATAAAAATAAAATATAAATATATTATTTTATATAATAAAATTTAATAATAAAATATAAATTAGTAGGGCAAAAATGGGGTTCTAGGGTCAGAATACGCAAGAAGGTTCCCAATCCTATTTTTAAAGCCTTCTAGCTATTTGAATCCTCTATTGAATTTAAAGCTCTAGCCCAAATTTAAGCTTTTCTCACTATCCAAATATTAGGTATCAATTTGACATTAAATTACTTTACAGGATACCAAGAATAAAACAATCTCTTATAGCCTTTCTAGCTCAATTTTAATCCTAAATAATATATCAAAAAAAATATACCATTCTGTTTGGGCTTGAGATGAGGCGAGATTAGCAAGAACTGAAGGTTCAAAGCTAAGATTGTGGAGTCTCTGCAAACCTTCTATGCATACTATTATTTATGATATTTTAGAATTAATTCTAAAGTTGATTCATGATCATAAACAAAGGGCTACTAAGTCTAACCAAAAATCTTGAAGTCTAATCTCTAGGTACCAAAATGCTAAGTCTAACCTCTTTGAAGTTAGACTTAGCTGTTACTAAGTTACGGTTCTAAGAACTAAGGAATTATTTCTTGTATACTTAGTTTTTCTGATACACAGAAAACCATTCTAGAGTTGAATCTTCGCAAAATACTAGGGACAAAAAAAATATACCAGAGGTTAGACTTCTGGATTAAAGGTTAGATTTTGTGAATCAAAGGTTAGACTTAGTATTTATCAAAAAAACTTTTTAGATGAAAAAATAATATATTCCCACCATATACAAATTTATAATATGCTAGAAACCTTTCTAGAACTGATCTATTTA